ACGATTGTGCGAATTGACGATAACTTGATAAAACATATGATCATTTGCGTGTATTTTCTGTGCAAAAATATTACAAAGAAAAGTCAACCGGCTCCATGATTAGAAATCAAATTAAAAAATTGCAAAGAGCCTGTAAGAGCTACGCGTATAATTACGCTTTATTTACAAATAAATGTAATACACTGAAGAAATATGCGAAAGGGAGTTAGTTTATTGTAACCCCTTGGAATTTACACATTGAGAAAAAAATGTTTGAAATTTGTAGCTATGTTGTAATCACATAGAGAAATAATCACTACAAATTATAGTCAATAAGACTATTTATTTTATTAAATTCTTCTATAATGTTAGTGATAATAACATTACATACATGTTATTACCATTTTCGTGTTAGAACAACCAAAAAGCATAGTTAGGATAAATAGTAACTATAATTTTAGTTAGATCAATCATTTCCTTCCTCTCAGTATATATATTTGTAATAAAGCGTAATTATATCTGATACATGGCTCTTACACACTCTTTTGTAATATTTTTATTTAATTTTTAATCTCGGAGTCAATTGATATTAATTCTCCCTTGTAACAATGCACAACTCTTGTACAGGTGCATTTACAATTACTTTTTATTTGGAAAATATTACATCTTGTTAAATGTTCTTTGTACATTCTCGCGAGATTCGAACGTTGTTTCTCTAATTTGCCATTTATTTGTTTATAACGTGAGTCCTAGACACGCGGATCCGACAAGCGTGTCTCGCCTACCTCATATCTAGTACGTAGGCAATCGTTCGACAAGTTTTAACGAAGCGTGTTAATCGCGCGTTTAATTTGAGACTACCTATACTCCTACGTGCGCCGATTATACGGAGTGCATAATGTGAACGTTTTAAGAGCGGAGAAATATCTTAAAGCGTATATCGCCGCACTTAGCTTCGGCATGTCGAGCGGCCCCGTTAATTTCACTAATTAAGTTAGCGACCGACCGTCCTACCCCCGTCTCTTACATGCGTTATTTATGCTTTTTTTGCGCATTAATTTCTGGCTTTCGTATTTCTGGTCGGACTTCCTCGATGCCGCCGCTATTTTCGCTTTACTCCGCTCGTCGGTGAGCGCAAATGTTTCTCTTTCATCTTAAAAAAAAAAAAAAAAACGTTCCCGAATGCACCGCGCTTTTCTTTGATTTTAGATTTCGCGAGATTATCCAGTTGGAGTTAGCGACGATAGCAGGGATTCGTAATTTCAATAAATGCTCATTCGTGTTTTCGCGATGCAATCGTGCGAACAGAAAAATTCCACGCGTCGTTCAGGAGTTGCACAAATTTAGCATATAAAGATACGTTAACGTTAAGAAGGAATAACGATCGCCGTTTCCACATGATAAACTTGTAATTATTTATCGGATAGCGACGTAGGCCTTCGTGACTTATGCGAATACTCGCGTGTAATTACGATAATTCCCTCTTCGACATCTCTCTCGCGGTGTTCTTCAGCCGGGTGTTTGCGCTTTATTCGACGTGGAATTCCAGAAGCCATAACCCGCGTGCCTCTCGATGATGACGGACGGGCCCCGTACAATGGCAACAAGACAGCTAACAAAGTACAGAGCCGTTTTGCTGCGCGTTATAAATCACAGGGCGTTTACTGGGCTTTGCTCTTCGACTTCTCCACCACCTCGGTGGTTTAATCCATTCTGTTAATCATGAAAAATCGTCGGTCCTGCTCCACCGCATGTACCCACTGCATACATTTCGTGTATAGAGTGTTTCACGTCAGGGTTTCACCGTGTCAGATAGCAGAATTCTATAGCAAAAGATATCTCGGCTCCGACAAGGAATTATATAACTGAGATTAGCTCTTTGCTTTTCTTCCGAATTTTTTTCTTATCGTTTTTTCTCTCCCCGCTCTCAAGACGAACGACGACGCACAAGTATCTAGTACGAGATGCGACATCCTGTACATCGCCGACGAGATCTTCCACGTGGGACGTTTATCCCTCGGCTCGCGTTTATGGTTTTTAACGTCGGGATGACAAATATGTCGTATTTAACGATATTTATGCGAACGGATCACATTAGCTTCCGCTCACAGGACCGGGGATTATCTTGTCCCCGAGAAATATCGCTTTCGCCGTTTGTCACCGAGCAACCTGCCACGACGCGCGGCGTGTCGCTTGATATTAAGTTACTCCTTCGGCCGAAAATTAAGAGAGCCAAACACGGACGTATATCAAGCGCTCCTTTAAATAATTACGTACTGCATCTCGCGTGGGACACATCTGATCCTTTTTTTCTCGCTTCTGTCGGTTATCCTGCGAGATGACACGTCGAGTTGCGCTGATATAACTTTGTCAGAGCTGGGAAAATTTTCTGACGTCAAAGAGCTCTCTCTGATTTAAACAAAAACAATCGTGATTACTTACAAGTAAACCTATCCAAAAGTTACACTCCGATTTCTTTCTAATTTGACACAAATGTAGAAGTACAAAAAATATTTAGGTCATATTTTTTATTTTGGCACACTTTGAGTTTCACGGACAATTTATAGCTTTTTAATGTTCTATCATCAACAAGTGCAACAAAAACGCATAAGAAATAAAATTATAATTATATAATTTATAATACAAGATATAGGCGTTTTTGGTTTGCTGATTATGAATATAAAGTCAAATGTATAAAATTATTCGTATAAATAATAAAATGTTTAAACAAAATATGTAAAAAGTTGAAAAAAATTATTTATACAAATAATTTCTCAGTTTGGACAAGATTCGAATCACTTTCGACTAATTTAGCACAGATTTGAAAAATTTCGGTTGGAATCTTGGCTAAAAAAATTTAGAATGGTTCGTGTCGGGGCTATGCCAATTTTGTTAAAATTTTTATTAAAATTGCCGGATTTCTCTCTCGGTTTAGCCGAGATTGACTAATTTAGTACAGATTTAAAATATTTTGGTTGGAATCTCGGCTAAAGAAATTTAGAATGATTCATGTTTCAGTTATACCGATTTTGTTAAAACTATATCTTGTATTCAATTTTATTTCTTATGCATTTTTGTTGTATTTATTGATAATAGGAGTGAGAACATTAAAAAGCTATAAACTGCGTGAAACTCAAAATGAGCTGAAATGGAAAAATATGACCTAAATATTTTTTGTCCTTCCACATTTATGCCAAATTAAAAAGAAATCAGAGTGTACCTTTTGAGTAGGTTTACTTGTTAGTGGATCTAAAATGGCGCATGCGATAGACGAAGGTAGACATGTGCTTTCAAGCTGTGCGTCTCGTATTTAGTTTTTAACTGTACCAAGTTACGACGCGGCTATCCCGGGCCTCGAACATAAGTTATTCGCGTGCTGCGTGCCCGGCGTGGAGTCTGCAGCACGATGAAACGGTAACACGAGAAACCGGACCCTACTTTGTACGGGAATGCATCTACAGTTGTATGGGAGCGTACGTGTGGTAGCCCACTACCTTGCCGTTTCGCTGATTTCCATGGCGATAAAAGCGCGCTACCGCGGTCCCGCATCTTGTCCACAAAATTCTAATCGCTATAAAAATGTGCCCAAGTGCCGGCATAAAGTGTCTTCTCGAATTAACATTAGAGCGACCTGAACGGAGCGCTTAATTTGACAAGGTTTCGGTATTTATTGAACCACGAAAAAATATCAAGAAAGTTCATTAACAATCATACGACTAAATTTTGGAAAAAAAGAATCAATTTGGACAGAAAATCACGTGTTACTTGTCGGGACTCTCTCTGTATATTCTTAGTGCTTTCTAAACATTCCTTCATATACCTACAAAATATAATCTTATTTTCAGCGGAATCTTTTTATATGTGACCTCAAGAGGATTGTTCTAAAACTAAAAGGAAAATATTCTGAGCACAATATTTTTAAAGTTAAAAGAATTTCGTATTTAACTGCAGTACAAATCTTGTTTTTAATAAGAATTTCTCCTAGTAAGTAGGGTATTGTATTTCTAGTCAACATGTGCCTCTTGATAAAAAAAAATAAAAGTTAGTTAAATATTTGATAGATTTTATACTAATATATAACTTAATAATAATATATAACTTACTCCATACATCAGAAGAAAGATACTTTTCTTATAAAATTGACAGGAAAAGTATCTTGCTACTAGAGTTCTTTTTTTGGATGTTGGAATATTTTCCTTTTGATTTTAGGTCTTTTTCTCTTGTTGTTATATGTAAAGAGATTCTGCTAGGAATGAAATTATATTATTTTAGGTGTAATTTAAAAAAAATTCCCGAGTTAGGATTTTTTCATTGTCAGATGCGGTGGTTTACACGAATGAGTCCTGTCTCGTTTTACCGTTACACACGCATTGCTATGAAAGTTGAATGTCCTATACAAAAATGCATATTATTTTTTACTTATTGGATTTATGAAATTATGAGCTACAATACGAATATTTATACGCAAGGTGTGCGTTTTGATTTATTAACACAGCGGGCCGTTAAAAACGTTAAGATGCATGGAGCGTTGATATATTCAACTATCAGCTACACGAAACCGTAATATTTTTCACGGTTAACTATATGGATCTCCGCGGTATATTAATTTGGTCCCGAAATCGTGCTTTTAATCACTGGAAGTATGCTCGATAATTAGAGAGAATCTAGCGGTAGGATGTAAATTGATAGGTCAACGATAAAGCACTGGGGATCCTTAATGAAAAGGTCATCGATATAAAACACGTAACGAACCACTTAATAGAATGCGAGAATGATATAGCGGCTGTATGTTCCCCTTCAACTCGGAACCTATCGAAGATGTTCCGACACACACACGTACATACACGTTTAATCGGTATAATAAGTAGTAAGTTGTACAATTTTATGCGAGCTGGAAAGAAAGAGACAGAGTAAAAAAGAGAGAAAGAGATGGTTATGACGACCAATCGTGATGCTTGAATCTGTCGGGGGTATGGGAGAGCGTAATAAATAGCGAGCGCGAATGACAGGAGAATCCTTACCTACTACCACCACGTGGCCAAAGACCTGATCGTTGGCCACGTGGGAGCAGTTCCACCGATGATGCCTGAATTGATGTCGACACTCGCGAAGACCCAGAGCGGCACCCTCGCCCACCGCGGGCATCGCGTGCGGCGCTTTTCTGCACTGCTCGCGTTGACTTTTCGCCAAGCCGGGGATGCGGCTGCAGACAGCCGCGCCGACTACCACCGCTCCGACCACCCTGAAACAGAGGCCCATCGTCACAACAGATTATCGCGGATAAAATGAACGAGCGTATCAAAGCATAAACGAGATAGGACGTTCACGCGCTTTGCATAATATTCCCATAAATATCCCTCGAGAGTCCGGTTGATACGTCCGGTATATATTAGGTAGATTTGATGTACGCGTGAGAAAAAACGGAAGCTTATCGCCCTGTCCTTGTTTCGACACTTTGACGAGCAAGCTGCGAACAGCGTTTAACAGGTGCTAAGAGCGATCCGCCGACAAGCTGAAACTCGATACCCGCAGCCTCCCACTGGTCCATTGCGTAATTTATATCCCGCAAAGTGAGCGTCTCGTCGTAAGACCCGAGTGTTCTTACGAAGCGTGTCCCGTCTATCTGTACTTCAATTGCCGTTGCGCGCACGCGGGGAAATTGCGGAGGAATAAAAAAGTACGTCGCATCATTTGGCAAGTGACTCGCAGTATTGTACGGTTCATCCGTCATCTCGCGATGAGCCGTGCCTTTCATCGGACCACTTACGATTCTGTTATTCCTTCCTGATCGGCAATGAAATATTAAGGCGCTCTGAGCACACGCAGGGGTGAGTTATCAAGTCCCCACTTGTTGTCAGGGAAGGAGAGCGAGGTGACGCAAAAGAGAGAAGGATGTAAGGCGGGCAGGTTGGATTTCTGAGAAGCATGAAATTGCGACGATTACACCGCGTCCCCGGGGCGAGAGTTATTTGCATTGGAATGCATCGCTGCGCTCTCGCGGTGGCCGAATCTCGCCACGTGGTGGGACGATATACAGGGTGTCCCGGCGAACGTGAGAAGAAGGAAGGAAGGGGCCCGAAATTGCCCGCGGCCGTCCGCTTCTTCTTCTCGTCGTCGTCGTCGTCGTCGTCGTTTGCTCTCGCGCATAAACGAGGAAGACGTGGACGCGCGAGCGGCCTGTCGGCTCCTCGAAGGCGTTTCGTGCGCGTCTCGTGACTCCCCGATGACGGGAAGATGCAATCGCGGGGCCCACCGAGGTGAGGACGTTTCGCGTCGTTTTTCATAATAATACGACCGCTACTCGACAATCGCGATTCGAATTTCTCGCTGTTCGCTGCACTCGGCTGCACCAGTCGCACCGTATCGTAATATAGGTCGTTACATAAAATTTAGAGTCTCGTAAGAAGAGAGCGGTAAACTCTCGTTCACATGACCGAATCTCTGATTGGTGCCGTGATCAGAGTCTCTTATGTAGATATATTGGCATAGGAATAGGTGAGAAATTGAAGTTTTCGTTCGTCGCAACAATCGGAAGCCCCGACAGATCACAAAAGAGATCTTTTGGTGTGTTCAGGCGTCAAATTCAAATACTCATCTCTTCTGATATGACTAGGGTTCATATTAATAGTTGTTACTTGAAACATATCTCAAATATAACTTAGGTTTGAGTTTAGAGTTAGAGATGAGAGTTTTTCAGTTTAAATCTCACGATTACAGGTATAATGTCGCATATATCGTATAATTCAACTGAAAGATTTGAATTTAATTCGGAATACAAATCTGAGTATCTCACGTGAGACTAACTTCAAGTAACGACTATTAATATAACTGTTAATATATGTATAAGCCTAAGATTAATAATATATTACGACAACCCGATTATCACAATGCAAACAAACTTTTCTTATTTATTCCTGTATACCCTCTGTCTATTAGGGACTAATCGGAGGAAATTCACATGATCGAGTTTATCGCTCCCTTTCTATGAGATTCACTAGTAAAATCACTAGGAGATATTAGAGATCGCGGGTGTGTTAAATGTTAACGGCCACGCTCTTCCGATTAATAAGCGACCGGCACGTCACTCGTTAGCCTTAATTAGACGCGGCTTGCACCATGCCCGATACCTCGAAGGCATGTCACGGACAGCGGTCGGTGGTGGCGATTACTCATTTGTCTCCATCGCTCGTTACGTAGTTGGGGCACACTTTATCACGATTGCGTTCTCTCTGGTAGCGACATGTCAGAACTGTTTTACGACATCCCCGTCCTTCTCAGTAAAAGAAGATCGATGATGTAGTAATTGTTTTACATTTTTTTTACGTGTCGCGACTTTTCTCCCCCCCCCCCCCCCCCCCCCCCCC